CAGAGGTTTTCCAAACCCAACAATCTTCCTTTCCTTCTTGCCCACAGCTCTTTGTCTCTCAAGCATGCAGCACATTTTAAATACATGTATGCTATTACTGGTCACGTCTCCCTGCAACCACTTTGGGTTCTGGAGACATTTCTTGCAGCGTGTTTTATTTTCACTATAATTATCTGCAGTGTATGTTGTCCTTCCAAATACTAGTTTAAAAATAACAATGTATTAGTTAGATCTGGGATGTGTAAAGAAATTCAGTGATGGCATTAATATGAAATTATTACACTGGACACCGGGGATTTGGAAGGAGAAAATTCCCTGACACAGAAAGAATCCAAAGTCTGGCCAGAAAAGATGGAATTTGTAACAAAGAATACAACAGGCCAGACTTAATTTTCACTATCGACACTTAGATGGAAACAGGAGGTTTTCATAATGGATTTTCAAATCTGAAAGTCAAATACAGCTGTAGTTTGACAGAGGCTGACTCACTGAGCTTCAGGGCATGCTGAAGCACAATCACACATTCTGTTTGCTTCCAAATTCTCCCAGAGAGGCATGAACCGGCCTCACAGAGGAGGCAGGATAAAGGGTGAGCTCTGCTTTGAAAAGGACAGACAATTTATCATGGATACTATGCCCTAAACCTCAGTTCTTTTACCGCATGTTATTCTCAGCATATTTATAAAATATAAGACAAGATCTAAAAATCTTACAATCCTGTGATAAAGTAACCTTTTTCCTCTGAACAGCTGCTAAGGTCAGGCTCCACAGGAAAAAAATCTGCATATTAACTGACAGCAGTTGCAAATCCACAGGACTCAAAGAGAAGAGCTGCTCTATCTCTAGACAGATAGGGCAGCAGGACTGTGTGGGTCTAATCAATTCATCTGAATGAAACACTGAATTACACATCCCAGTCTGCAGAAATCCACAAAGAAGTCAACAGCAGAAAACACTATGTTCAGTAAAAACCACCCATTGTCAAGTGCAACAAAGTAGGAGGAAAATATATGTTAGGACTGAATTTCTGGCTGTGAAACATCATCTGAAGCCAACTTCTTCTAAAGCAGTTTTCCCTGCAGGATGTTGATGGCATCAGGAGTGCAGTGAATTGGAACCTGCCTCATTCAAATTATTGCTGCCAGCAGTGTGTGCAGCACAGCAAACTGCTGCTGCACAAGCATGTCAAAGCCAGCCTTTATCATCTTTTGCTTCCTGAAAGTAACAGATCATCCCAAATACTATTATATCATCTCAAATACAATTAGCATAGGACTGGCTTATTACCAACAGAAGCACATTTCAACTTTGCTCCTAGCAAACAAAGAAAGAACAAACGTTCTGATTGAAATTTGGCTTAATAATTTCAGCAAAAACTTGTTTGCAGAACTTGAAAAGCTGTTAAATGCTTACTGCAGATGTTGGCTTATAGGACCAGAAATTTACTTTCATAATAAGAGGTTTCCCTGAAGATCTATGGTTTATGGCACTGAAGCAGAAATTTATAAAGCCAATTCCTGGTCTTACAGAAGCTGGTAAAGACTTTGCCATTGATTCCCATAGGGCCAGCATCACTCTCTAAGAAACAGAAACCATTTAATATCTACTTTTTACTGCATTCTATTGTAAGATACTCTATATGCACTGCAATAAATGCAAGTGGGAAGCTTTTATATTAGAAGACATTTCTGTTTTGAGATAGAGAAGTAGTGAGAGGAAATGCCAGAAGTCCTCTGAACTTCCCAAGTGAATTAAACACTAAACTTTGTTTTCCTTAAGAACAGTAATTACATTCTTACCCTAAAAAATGTCACTGTCCTTAAATAAGCCTGCAGAGATGTCACCACTGAGTGAACCTTCCAGGATGGAGAAATCTACTCCAAGTTGTTTAATCACTCCAAGTTGTGGGGACTCTGATCCTAACCACACAAGGGTGGAATGATCTGAAGCAGCATTTAGAGGCCAAAGTGAATTGGATGGGATTTGTTTCCTCCAATGATTTAGTTCATTACTTTTCACATTAAGCTAGCTATTCAGGTAATTCTGAAACAATTGCAAGGCCTGAGCAGATGTGAGCTCTGACAGAGAGTTGTGTGGGTGTCAGGTGTCCCTTCCCTGCTGACAAAGCACCTCAGATCCACCAGCTGGCCTTTTGTATCCACACAGACGCTACAGAGCAGAAATCAAGAGGGTTGGCAGAGCAGCAGACTCTTGTTTAAAATGACATTACAGATTCCCCTGATAACAGCAATAAATTAATTTCTTTAGACCCAGAGCAAAAGCCCTGCTTCTTTCATGGACTCAGCTGATCCAAATGCTACTTTATTTTCCTCTCTCCTCCTTAAAAAGGAAAAAAAAAAACCCACGTAAACTTTAACTGTAAATATGTGGACCTGCAAGCCTTCCAAGACAAAGGAGAGAAAATAAATTTGATGAGATCATGGGAATCTCAGTCTTACAGGTAGCAAGCATCAGCAGAAGAACATGCAGTGTGCAACAGCTTTGCTTCCCAGTCCTGCATTTTCAGAAGTCTTGGCCGAGTCCTACCATGTAAGAGGCAGGGATGGCCCTAGCAAATCCCATTTTCTAGAAAATCCAAGGAACTCAGGGCATGGCTTCTGCAGTGCAAGTGAGAACACACAAAAAATGTTCCATTTTATCACAGGCATCCAGGAGAAATGCTGGGGTTTGTGAGGCTGCAGAGCAGGAAATGGGGACAGAGGATCCAGGGACATCAAGTGGAAAGGAACTCCTGACAACCACAGTCCACCTTCCACCTGGAGCACTACAACCAGAACCACCCATTCCCTGCAACTTTTAACTACATGATTCTTGTTCTGTTTTTTATGTTACAGGGCTGTAACAGCTTATTAAGTATGTGGGAGTGTCTGCATGGCAAACAGCAAGAGAGGAGAACAAAACATTTCATCTCCAGGCCTTGGCTCCTCACTTGGACAAGCACAAGCAGCACAAGTGAACTTTGGGACAGCACTGGGGGTAAATCAGTCCTCTCACAGCTCCTAATCAGTAGGGAAAAGGGAGCTGTGGTCCAGAGAAAATGAAGTCAGCAATCCCCAGGAGGAGGTGAAAGGGCACCTTCCCAGGCTGAGGCCCTGCTGATGGCACCCCTCTGGCTGTGCAGGAGTCCTTTCTTCTGCACTCACAAAAGAATCTAAGCAAATCATTGAAAAGTGCCTCAGGGCAGAGCTTGCTGCTAGATCAGGTTTGCCCTGTTTAAACAATAAATGAGGTAATGCATGAAACTGCCTTCTATTTGAGGACACTTCATTCATAAAACAGAAATACCAAAAGCTTTGCAACCAAATAAACTTCATAGATGGGTTTAAAAGGCCCCTGCACCCCTCCCAGCAAGTGAGCAGAGCAAGCTGTAGGGATTCTGTGGCACAAGGCACACTGTTTCCAAGGACAGCTCTGTGACTTGAAATGAGAGCTGACAACTTCCAGGTCATTAACCCAGCAGTGTAAACAGGACCTATGGACATGTACATGCATTCAGGTGGGCTGGAGCAATGGCCCCAAGTGCAGAAGTCTACAAACACTGCTCTGATCTTTGTTCAGAGTTTCCAGGAAAACTTTTATTCTCTGCTCCCTTTTCCTCAACCTCAGGATATGTGGAGCCTGGTGCTGGCTATATTTGTGTTGCTAGCTGAAAGAACAGCAGAACATGCCAAGCATTTAATAACAAAATTCCAGCCTTGTGACACAACCCAGTAATCCCAAGACTGGAAGCTAACCTCATATTTCTGCTCAGCATAAAACCTTAATACTAAGAAGAGCACCGCTGTTTTTATTTTGCCTGAACCTTTTCTACAGAGGTGCATCTCACAAGTCAAGAAACCTGCTGTGTACCAGGTGGAACAGGGCTGTATTACCCATGTACCTGTGGCATCTACAGATTGGTGGTTATGACAACACAGGAGCTGCTCAAACCAGCTGTGCTGAGCTGTGTGTTCTTACACAGAGCTGGTTTTAGCTGGGTGAGCTGCTGTCATGGCCACTCCTGGTGCCCACCACCTCAGGGCCCCTCTTGGGTCACTCCTCTGAACAGGAAACAAATGGAGCTTTGCAGGGTCCTGGCAGGATCACAGCTGGGTGTGAACATGCACAGAACAATTCTCATCTAACACCCCAGCTGCAAAATGGCAGGGCAGGAGGCTCAGCAAGGCCCAGGGTCAGCCAAATGTGCATAGCAGACATTTCTAATGACTCATTGAGACCTCTGCAAAAGGGAGGAAAGAAGTTCCTCCAACTCCAGGTTGATGTTTCAACCACTGTCTGCCTTGATCATTTCCATCACCAGATCCCAACCAGCTTCTCACTGCTGCAGCTATCCTGGCTTTGACACCAGTCAGGCTTGCAGTGCAGAAAGTGCCATCAGACACCTGAAATTCCATTTTATAACAGCTTTTTACCACCAGTAACTGTGCTGCAGATGTGACAAAGCTGCAGCACAAGCCTCTGCTCTATCTCAGCACAGACAGCAGGCCCCCTCATCTGTGCCAAATTACAAGTCACAAAACAGCAGAAAAATTGTGGCCCTGCACACAGTTCTCTACAGCTGCAATATGTGACACATAAAACTGCAAATGCAAGAGTTTTAGGGGAAGACAGAAACTGTATTGTGCTAACAGTAGTAATTTATGCAGAAGGTATATTTGTTCCCATACTCAGAAGCAGAGAAGGTTTGTACCCCTTTTAAGTAGCTCTAATGTGTGCTGAACCACAGAGTTCATGCAATTTTGGGCTGCCTTGCCCTGGCACCATAATGTTTCCTGCAAAGCTCTTTCCATTCCCAATATGACTGGCATGTTCTACAAAGACCATGATCCGGCCATGTTACTTGTAAAGGACACAGAGAAGCATAATTTCAGGAGAAACACATTTACCTTCAATCTTGCCTAAGTCATCTTTGGTATCTCTGCAAGAAGCAATCTCAGGGACCTGAGTAAAAGGCCAGCAGCAGCCCCTGCTACACTTACCCTGCGGAATGACACCACATAGAAGGTATCTTCCCTTCGGTGAATCGCTTCAAAGAAGTCCTGATAGCTCCTTGGAGAGGCATAATACACTTGCAGCTCATTCCCTGAGTTCTTGCTGAAATAAAGAAGGGCAAAGGTAATGATTTTAGACTAGACAGGTAATTTCAGTGAGACTTTGGAGACCTGCTTTTTAAAGGAGCTCCAGCTCTTCCTCCACTGAGAGAAACTTGAGGCACACAGAACACAGGTGAAGGTAATCAAACTACTCAGTACTTTTTGAAAGTTCAAGGTGTTTCAAAGGTCTTACTGTGGCAAAGTTTTCCAGATTTGTTTTTGTTCATGCTTCTGAGGCCAGCAAAAACCTGCTTGCTAGCTCAACAGGAAAAAAAGGTTTCAACCCAAAGTGTCTGAAAAATTGTGATGACTTCTGAAAATAAATTTAAGGATAAAACGTCGTTCTGAAATAAAATATCAAATTATTTAGCAATGAAATAATTTTCTTTTACTGCTAAGAATCCAAACCACTGAAATTGAAAGAAGTACAAAGTTAAGCATAAACAAAGTTTTTAATTTACTGTCAAATGACAAATTCACCTTCTTTCTCACTCACATTTCTTTTCTTTTTTTTCTGCTGTGTCCTCTTGTCAACTCAAAGATTTTTCCCCTGGTCAACTCCAAGGTTTGTTCTTGATTTCAGTTTAGACAGAGGAACAAAAATAAGATATTCACATAATTCTGGCTTATCTTTTCCACGGTTCTCATCTTACATATGAGACACAAGGAAAAGATGCTCTAAACCATTCTAAGCCGAAACACTGGCAAGTCCTACAGTCATGGTACTTATCCACTGTTTATCTTGGAAAGGTGAGAAATTCCTAGCATATACTGCTATCATTAATACTTCCCCAATCCCATTCCAAAAGAACTTATTTAATCACACTGGAAAGCTGCACTCAGGGAAACCATCAGCTGGACCTTCAACCTGTCATTTTCATTTCCTCCACTTTAATAGCACACTGTGTGTTTGCAGCAAGGACACTGACTGGGCATCCCTCCCCTCCCAAGTTGTCTTCTGCTGACCCAGGTTTTGAACTAGGAGGGCTAATTTAGATTATTTTAGTATGTTTATAAAACATAACAAGGCACAAATCTATCACCAAGAGATTCTCAAGCAGCAGTAATAACAGGCTGTCACCATCTTCTCTTCCACTGCTAACCCAGTCCTGTCACAAACAGAAGACTGCAGCTGACAGGGCAGCTGCCCTTTCATAGGACTGGGGGTGCAAGTCCTGGGGGATCAGGAGCAAGGCAGCTCTACTCTACACATCCCTTTCTGCAGATCTCTGCATGAGAGGACTCAGCTCCTGTCCTTCACACACAGGAAACAAAGGCTGGAGCTAATCTGAGCTTGATTACTCATCCACAAAAATACACAGGCACAGCAAGTCCCTCCTGAGATGGAGCCTGGAGCTGGGCTGTGATGAAAGGCATCACACCTGAGATGGAGC